TTGAGGGCGAGGCACCGGGATCACGACGCATGTCTGGTTGGGTTGCGTTCGGTTGGTATGCGCGACTGATACGTTGAGGGCGAGGCACCGGGATCACGACGCATACTGGTTGGGTTGTGTTCCGGGTTGGTATTGCGCGACTGATACGTTGAGGGCGAGGCACCGGGATCACGACGCATGCTGGTTGGGTTGCGTTCCGGGTTGGTATTGCGCGACTGATACGTTGAGGGCGAGGCATCGGGCTCAGGATGAGTGCCGCCTGATTCATTATTTGTATCTGCATTGTCTGGATCCTTCACCAGTGGCGGGGCAACGACTGGTATTGGGAGGGCCCAGGTGTTAGGGAAGGCTGCGCACACGTCGGCATATTTGGGGCACCTGATGCTCCCCCCGCTCCAGTCGCCCCCTGACGGCGTGACCGTCTCGCCTTCATTGCAGTCGTACCACGTGTCGTCGCCAAGGAACTGCACCCTCAGCTTACCCCCACTGCACTGCGTGTTCACGCACACATCGCCAATCTCTTCGTTTTCAAAAAGAAGCCTCTCCGCTTTTACGCACCGTGAGCTCGAGCCAATGAAGCTTCCAGGGAACCTATGACGGTTTCCGTTTATACACGCAGTCGCCACACGCTCAACAATATACGGACAAAACTCCATAAACTTCGATGCACCTCCAAGTAGGGGGTCATCAAAGTACTGAAACTGTGGTAGAAAGCTCGTTTGGTGAGTTTTTAGGTTACATGTCCCCAGAGAAAGACGGTCATACGTGCAGAGTAGCCCTTGTGTATTCGACAGTTGTTTACAGAACATGTCAGGGTAGTCGGTGCGGCCATTGGTCAAGCACTTATTTTCCAGCAACCCGCAGCCAGAGTTATTGCCCCACCGCAACGACTCCGCCATGTCGTAGTTAGCCTTGTACACACCCATGTCCTCAAATGCCGCAAGCGTGAATGCCGAGTAATACGTGGGCGGGGCCTGAGGATTCATAAACTCGTCCCATGCGTTGCGTTTCTTCCAATGGTTCAGGTCGGGCTTCTCACCTTTCCCCTCGTCCAGCTCCATGCCCTCAAGTGTGGGGCAGTTGTAGTACCTCTTCGCCAGCTCCTTCACCTTCGGTGAGGAAATTACCCACACATATTCTTTCCCTCGCACATTGGGGATATGGGAGATCATATTGAACCTCTTAAACTGTTCGTGCGAAAACCCAAGAGCGTGCCCAATCTCGTGCGCTGCAGTACGAACAGCTTCATTAGTGGCCTCTATGTACTGGGAATTGATGTTTACGGCGCCAGCGTACGGGCGTCCGTCCTTCAGAGTGAGGCAGTGAGACGCCCATGCAATGGCACTTCCACTCACGAGAGTGTCGATGTAGAGAATCAGGTCGGCGCCGCTCACACCGATCGTGTGGTGCCAGGGAGGGATGGTGAAATTGCTGCACAGCCCTAGACCTTTCTTTGGTATGTGGATGGGACCCTCCAGAGGCCTCACGGACAGACGATCGGTGTGCATCTTAATTGCGGCCGGAAGGAGTTGCTTCAAAAGAATGTCCTTCTTCGCCTCCGTCAACACCATGTCCTTTGTGCATTCCTTCCAGCTGTTACCGACCAGGCGCCATTGCTTCCCGGGGAGGCAGTGCTTCAACTGATCGTCCATGTCCTTCGTGGACACTTTGATGCGGATCGGGGCCCACTCACTCCCTACGCCTTGTGCGGCGACGGTGTACGCCTGCATCTCGCCCTGTCCTCTGCGCGGCACATCACGCACCACCACACTCGGCGGCGGGAACCTCCCCATCATCTCGTCAAACCCGCAGCGGTGCTTCCGGACGGAATCGGCAGCGAGGCACCCAGCGGCACAACACACCAACATCAGCAAAAACACCGCCAGTGATAGAAACGGCATGCTGCGGGGTGGGTGGCACATCGCTTGAAGAAACTCCCCGTGTTGCTTCCGTTTGAACATCAGCAGCGGCATTATTAGTGGTAGCAGTAGTAGCAGTAGTAGTGGCGCAGACCTTTCCACAGGAAGAAAAAAAAAAAAAAGCACAACGATAGGCAATGCCCTCACCCACAGTTGGGCACACCGAAAAGAACAGCGACAATCCAAAAAACGAAGGCCGCATTAGCGAACGTGTGGGCCGCACGATCTCACACTCGCCGCCGCCCATAAAAAACGGCAGCCGCAAAGAAGGCGGCGGTGGCAGCGACTGTTGTGCGCAGCCCGAAGAAACACCCACACGCACCCGCACGGAGAGTCCGCAGTGTGGGACGTCTCCCGCATAAATCAAACAACAAAAAACAAATTCATAAGCACCTCGCTTACCGTCTC